CTCCACCAGTCTGACTACTGCAAATCTGCCACATATTATGATGGAGAACAAAAATACATGGCTTCAAGAAAATAATGTTCCAGCAAATCCTTCCTTTGCATCTGATACAGTAGTATAAGCAAAATTTAATTAAGAGCTAATTAAGAGCTACGTAAATTGTTTTCTGTTTGTTTTTGTTAACAATTTAGGATCAGATAAGGAACATGCCCATAAGTCTCCTAAATCAGCAATTCTCTTTTTTATGTAACTAGCAGCTAAAATATTTGTTTAACGCCTTGCATAGTGGTCCAGGCAACAGTGTTTAAAGTGAGATCCTTGCATGACTGCGTGAACAATGATCTGTTGGTGAGCCTTGTTGGGTTTTCAGTTCTTATTTCTGCAGCATGGTCATCTGCCTCTTTAGTTTTGCAATGTATTATTTAGAAAGCATACAGTTTTTCAGAGATGGGTAAAAATAAGTAAAACACTTACCTAACGTCTTTAGAGGTAGTTTTAATTTGCACACAATTTGGTTACAAATAAAATCAAATAGGGTTAAGTTAACAAAGCTTGACATCTGAGACCATTCATGGGCTTTCTCAAAAACTAAGTTCACTGCAAACTTTTGCAAAGTAACATTAAGCTGTTTTTGTCCTGATGTTAATGGCTTTCTTTTAGCTTTATTAGTTTTTTCCATTTAAACTCAAGCTTGGCACACAAGGCCCTCATGTATCACTCTCTAGCGGACACTTGTAATGGTAAAGATTGTCCACTACAAAGAGTTTTTTTCCATCTATGCGGCTGAAGTGGTATGAAGTAACTCTTTCAACATTTCTTTGCTGCAGAGGCGTTAACAGAACATTAAGTGTGAATATCCATCAGCCAGACTTTTTGTATAGATAAAACTGTGCGTACTTTGTGTCCTCTGTCCTTGAACAGCCTTGCTGTACTGAAACATGAGGGGAACTGTGACAGATGAAAGTGAAATTCCTTAGGGGATGGGGAAGAGGCAGGAACATTAAACAAGACAGCACTTGAGGAAAGAGGAAGCTCATGTATACAACATTCAGCACAGCTTGTATTTGACCAATACTAGCAACACACACACAACTAGGGGACACTTGTGTAGCGTTTAACAGATGTTTTAACTAGCTTTGAGCTAACTATTCCATCCTATCTCAGACTGTAGTTTGAGGCCATGTGATATAGTGAAGGGTGAGACATAAATTGATGAAACTTCTTCATTTTATCTTTAACTTAACTCACCTGCGGTTAGGCGTATAACAGTAAAAGGCAGCTGTACACAATTTAATATCAAAGTGTTTTAGTTTCCGTCTGAAGAATATATCCTTTACATCTTTATTTTATTTTCAATTATGTATTACATTGCAATAATGTATACAATTAAATTAATATACATTGAAGTCTGTGGTTTTGATTTGTACAAAATGTTTTCAAATAAGCTATATACTCTTGTGGAGCACCATCAGATGACATGTAAACCATCTCTGTAAAACTTAATAATATTAGTTATCTATCAGTAAAGTTGGGACATCTGGTCTTAAATGGACGGTAATTTTAGTAACAATATCACTTTAATGATATGTATTTTTTTAATCTGGGTAAAGTGTTAATCAATATAATTGTTTTTGTGTTTGTTTGTTCTGTAGAAATATTATATACGGTAATTCTTTAATTCCTTCATACTGGCCCTCTTTCCAGGTATACTTCAGTGGTTTAAGGGAAAAAATGCTTTGCAAAAATCTGTCAAGACATGCATCCCGGGGTGTACAACACTGTTCCACCCTACAAGGAATCAGAAGGCGCTTCTTGGTACTGACAGTGTTATACATGCATTAAACCCTTCTCATCACGTTTTAGCTTTCTTAGACAGGAAAACTCATCTGCTTGTAGGAATCAATGATAATTTTTAGATAGATTAAAGACTGAAAAATCATCATCTTTACTTTTAAAGCAAAATCCCTAATCCTTAAAATAGAGAAGTTATTAAGAAGGCGCGTTTCCCAACCTGGACAACCCATTCAGACATGCCTTTGCTCTGAACAGAGAGCAGGGGGTCTGAGTATCGCAACATTCTTACCTCAGGGCCTGGAATGCGGCACAGACTCCTCACCTGCTCGGACATGCTGCGCTCATGAACAAAGATCTCCTCTAGAATGAGCGCCTTCAGTTTCACATAGTGCCGTTATAACCACCACAAATAATACTTTACAAAACACAGCAAAAACAAAGCATGACTTTATCATTTGCTTTCTTCTGTTACAAAAAAAACTTCTTTTTTTTTCCTGGGTGTCCATAAACTTCGGGCCCTTTGTACACACATTTATGAGGATATTCTTTTAGTTGGTAAAAGAAAAAAAAAGGGACAAAAAATAAACTCGATTCTTACCAGAGTCTGTTGAATTTCTCGTAGGATTAAAGTTTGGTAACAAAAAAATAATATATAAAGTCCCTTCAGGAGCGATCAAGCCCAACAGAGTGTCTTCTAGGCTGTCAGAAAGTGGAGCAGAAGGTGTCAGGTGGCCACTCCCTCACCTCTGAAGCTTTCAGATAAGGTAGATCTACTTCCTTATTTCAGAAATCTTGGCTTACTGATTGAACCAAGCGAAATATGGATTTGTTTACACCTCAAAACCCTCCAACTATCAATATTTGCTCATTTTCTTCACATTTTTTCCTAAAAACAAAAACAAAAAACATTTCTATAAGTGTTTTTTATGTCGCCAATACACTTAATAATGTTAATTTATTCGGATTAATTACATTTCAAGTGATAATTATTAGGAATGACCATATATTTTCTCTTCAGTTTTGTGTTTTTATATTTTTTGTTTTTTTAGGGCGTATAGTTGCGTTTACACTTGCTAACCAGCAGATGGCGGTGTGCGTGCTTTAATAATACACGTTCAAGTTGCAACGTTTGTTAATGATGTGACAAAAACACATACTGTACAATGTGAAGTATAAAAAGGTGAGCCGAGAAAGATTTAGATGTAAATTTAATTAAAAAAAATAAAATAAAAAAGTTCAAATGTAAGTTATTCAAAATATTTGAGATTATTGTTGTTGATATGATAATATTTCAGTCATAAATGTTCACAAGATTACAGGATACACAAAGTGTAATTAAAAACTTGAAAGAAAATTTATAAAATAAGTTTTAAGTTATAAACAATAGAGACAATAAGAACAGAAGTGTGTCAATCATTGAATTAAAACAGTGCAGATGTTTTTTGATTGTTTGTGTTTTGTTTTTCAGTTAAATGGCATCGAATAAAATGGCTGGCTGTTTTCTGTAATCATTAAAGAGGACAGTGTTAAGACAAATCCTCTTTTGATGCTGACAATGGTTCACAAATTTCATAAATAGTATGTAAATTAGTCTCTGACAACATTCAGTGCGCTGTTACTAAAGTGGTTTTCAAATGGGTCCTTGAAAGTAGGTTGCCTTTATTAATGTTTTTTCTTTTGTTGTTTTTACACTGTTAAAGATTATGCTCATTTTTTTTCATGCCACCTGACTATAAATCTGACTAAATGCTACTCTATTTAGGTCTGCTTGAATTAGACATTTAGCTAATTACTATACTTTTTAGAGTTTTCCTTGCAATCATGGTTACTAGATGTGCAGATATATCCCAAAATTCTTTGCAAGAGTTTTACTCACAAAGCCTCATGGGAATGTTTTGAGGGCGAGATGGTACAGGCAGTGTGTATGGGAGCCAGAATTATAGAACATACTGGGACTAAAATTAGTGGTTATCTGTCCAAATGGTCGGTTAACATTTATAGATAATCATAAAGTCCGCTATATAGTCCCTGATCTATAAAGTGATTGAGGGGTTAGAGTGGACACTTCGACACAGACAATGTTTTGACATTTCTCTGCCTCCACACACCTGACATGAACTAATGGTGGATTAACAGTCCTCAGCCACTCTTAATGTCTGCTGAGGAGATAAAGCAATCATTTAATTCCGATCTGCCGGGGATAATGCATCCAAAAATGAAAGAGCAGTGGATCCTGAGGTAAAGAGACTTAAACCAAAGCGGAGATGCATCAGTGCTGTCCCAATAGGTTAAGGATGGAGGTCAGCCATGTCGTATCCCACTTTGGAGCCTCACCTGATCTCTGACCTCCTGGCTCTAACAAACAAACACATCTCCTTCATCGGCAGTGGCTTCACCCTCTGGATTGTCGTGCCTACATCCATCTTGGTTGTGATGTCTTGCTTGTCCTCTGACCTCCAGTACATCAAGGTCTGGGACTCTGTGCTGCAACCGCTCTGCCGTGTTGGCAGCCAGCCGGCCAGATCAATCCTCCACCTCTGGACTCAGACTGAACAATAGGACCAGGTTAGTGACTCACTTGTTTTTGATCACCCACTTCCAGAAAGACTTGGTGACTTACCTGCTGTCTCCACCCGCAGAGGTTTCTACCTTCGACCTACATAAATCTCTTGTTAATAAACCGTTCTGAGAAGTTTAACTGTTTTCTCTGCCTTGAATTAATGGATCCTTCTGTTCTGACCTCAGACATTTGGTGCACTTGCGTAACCACTACTACGTTTTCAGAAGGCTGTAGTCGCAATTTAACCTGCATCATTCATATGCCTGTCTGACGCCCATAAGCTTGAAGGCACTCTGGATTCAGCACAGCAGTCTGGAGCCTTTCCTACCCTGGGTTGTTTCTCCTGTCGACCTGAAGGAAAAGGAGCAAGGTGATTTCCCCAATTCAGAATAAGCATTTCCCATCAGCTTCAGCACGCATCTTTACAAGATCTTTTCTTTTGAGGACTTGTACCGCTATATACACATATTGTATACCAATAAACATAATAATAATAATAATAATAATAATAATAATAATAATAATAATAATAATAACTATATAATATAATGCATCCTTCCTTTTTTCCACATTGTATTCCTTTGCTTTATGCTGACCCAACCGGAATATCCATATCCAAAACAAATCTTGTCATCACAAGGAGTCCCGCTTTAATATAGCAAACCCTTCAAATTACTATTCTTTATGGTAGAAAAAATATATATAGTTTCCTTTTATGACAGTCCTCATTGTGTATTAAGAAATGTAGGAAAGCTCCTGTCTAACCTCATAAATGCACATCAGGGAATCAGAAGTTCATCAAGGATCAGAAGTTCCAAGAAGCTCTGACTTGAAAAAAATAGCAATAAAGAAAGAAAGCAAGGCAGACCATAAAAACAATACTTCAGTTACATTTAATTAAGATAGAATGTTAGATTTATAAATGTTAGATTAAATTGTTTTTCAATAATTCACATCAGTCATCAGCATTTCACAACTCAACCAAAATGTTCAACTCACCATGTGAGAAAACAAAGACAAAAAAAAAAAAGATATCAACTCATTTTTACTTTCCTTCTTCTAGCCTGAATGCTGTTCCTTCTAAAATCCCAATTATCTCTACATTCCCAGAAGGGCTGGGGTAACAGTGACTCACATTATTTGCTCACTTGCATGCTACCATAACATATATGATACTTTTCCCCTGTGTACCTCAAATCCCCCAGGGAGGAGTGCAAAAGTAACGCCACATGCCAAAAAGCCATCTGTGCAGCCTGAGTGTATATTTCTGAATGCTGGCACAGCCTCATGCATGATGGTGACACCCAGTGAGGCATAAACGAGGACAGAGGAGGGGAATATGATGATGACAGCTTAGGGGGGAATGAGGGTAAGAGAGTTTTTAAAAGTGTTAATGATCACATAGAGCCTTCTGAATATTTAAACTATTGTAACCGCTAAAGGGCCCAAGCCTGCTACCGTGTGAATGGGTTTAAGTCAGAGATTAATAAGCACCTGTTTAAGGATTCCTGGCCTTGATGCTGCACTGATCTGGGTGATGGAGGGTGTGGTTCAGACTTGTTCTGCCCCAGACTTGAACTCTCTTACAGCTGTCACTGTTGGACAAAGTTATTTCAAAAGCTCTTTGGCTCAAAATAGAAAGCAGCAGTGGATGCTGCAGTGAGGGAACAGGGAGGGCTGAGGGAAGAAGAGGAGCTGCCACAGGCAAGGCTTCAGATCTGTGTGTTTGTGTCAGAGAGGAGGACCCTTATTACCAGCAGCAACATTAAAGCTGCTGTTGTGTGTATGTGTGTGTGGTCTGGTCACCATCATGTCTTGCAGGAATTACTTTGGTGGTTGTTGATACCTCTATTTGCCTTTTTAGCCGAAAGCCACATATTGTAACCTAGATTTAGTTGTAAAGAAGTCATGAATTTTTACAGGATAACATCCAAACAAAGCTTGATTTATTAAAAAAAGAGGTGTTCCTTGTTGAACAATAGGAAGTTATTATATAGTCCAGATTAACTTGTGGCTTCATTGGGCATATTAATCATACAGGAGAGTTTTACATTGGGCTTTTGATTTTTGATAAGAAAGTTAAACCCAGCTAACATGTTGTCATTTGTTTTTTCATGTTAAGACAAAGAGATCGAATCAATCGATTGTGGGTTTGATTGATTTGTTTTTCAATCAAAACCGCATCCCATAATTTTTACATTATAAAATGTTTTTTAAACTTCCATTATAATAACAAGAACCAATAACCTTTGTAAATTAACATAATTAGTTACAGGGCTTTTTGGCTCATGTTGATCGGTAGCTGCCCTGCCCTGTTAAGCACCTTAATAATATGATTTAGCTGCCTGTTCTTACTGGTGAAAAAGTTCAGACACCTCTTTTTTATGAGGAAGTTTAGTTTCTCTACAAGGCAAGAACTGCAAGCATCTTGTGTCTCAGCATGACAGTGTGGTATGGGAGCTGCACAGCAGAGGAGGGGAAGCCCTTTGCACTGATGGTGATATCAGCTCAGGGAATTGTGGGATGCTGTCTACCAGATCTAGACCCGCTCTGCATGAAAATCCCACAATGCACTACTTTTCCCACTTCCATCATGGTTCAGCTGCATCAAATCCAAAACTATTTACATTTACTCACACACTTAGTTTACTTGAGCAACTTTATGACAAACATATAGTTTCATTTTACCATACCTTTTACATTTAACGTAAAATAGCATCTTCATAAAAAACTGCTAATCTTATTTGACTAACATGTTTGGCTACTTCATTCACCGCGAGTAAATTAACTGAATAAGGAGCCAGATAGTTTTAAACAAAAGTGCTTCAAACAAAAGACACACAATCGATGTTTATGTCAAAATGAGTGTTCCTTTGATGAATATAAGCTTACTTTATATGTTTTGACTATTGTGACATTTGGAGTTGTAAGGAGTAAATATTGTCACTAAAGGTACTGGCTTCATAACATTTATAACCAAAATTAGGTTGGAAAAGTGTTTGTTCTGCCTGAATTTGTTATTTTTCAATTTTATCTTTTTTTTTTTTCGATTTTTTTTTTTTTATTATAATCTCTTTGATGTACATTTTGGTCTGCCTTTATAACTTATCTGTACATACTAAATCAGATATAGTGATGAGTTATTCAGTACTTGAGTAACCTTTTTACCGAATT